CTCGGAAAGAATGCCACTTTTTTTTTCGTCCCCTTACGATAGATATTGGCACAACATGTTTGAGCCGTCAATGCCCGCTGTAGGTGAGATTCGGGGATGTGAAGATACAGGAGGCTCCCCCGAAATGAGGTGGACGCGAGGGATGACGGCAGACGCGGCGAGTTTGCACAGCCTCAACTCCCCTATCTTCCTTGGGCGCTCCCCGGCTCGAACGGATTTAAACCACGTGGGACTGAAGGGCGCGATGTGCCGCTACGCAGGGGAAATAAACAAGTTGCAATATACTCATTTCCATGTTCGAGGTTTTCTTGTCCACTTCGTCCGTCATCTTCGGGGCCGATGGGTTTGGAGCAGAATGCGAAGCCGTGGCCCAGCTGAACTAGGGCACCGGAAAACCCGGTTTAGTGGGAACTCAATGGAGCCCTTAAGGAGGTCTGGGACGCTGCCTCCATCCACTTTCACCTGGTGTTCGTCAGCGATAGCCATGCCAAGGCGTGACATGTCCCATCAGCGAACCAATGTCTGTCTTTGGATATCACCTTCAACCCAACGGTTGCAGAGGTGGACACAGCAGCCTCGCTGTTCGGCGCGGACGCGGCGCCGGACAAGTCGTCTCGGGCCGGTGGGGGTGGATACTCAGGTGGCTCGATCATGGCCCCAGAACGGCGCCGGACTCGTCGACTTTGGAGCTTACGCGCGTCTTGTCAGATTCCCGGCTGGCAGTGGCCCAAATCTCACTACGCCGCTAGTTCGATAGGTTAATCGAACAATACGGGGGGAGGCGAAGAGACTTGACGCAGGGGAAGATCCCTTAGGCCCCCATGTTCGCGCATTTCTTTTGGGGCCGAGATGCTCGGCGCCAAACGCATCTAATTCAATCTGCCTCGGAGTTTTCACTCTTGTATGGATGGTTCTGCCCGCGCAAGTCGTGGAGACGCTGCACTTACGGAGGGTATAGCTGGGTAAGGTTCACTTCCGCGCGGCCCCCAATCTACGCCCACCCCCTGCGAACCCGCAGATGGTACAAAGGGGATGGACGGTCCATTTGGGTTCTTTTGATGGTTGAGAACACCAGACGCTGGGATGGCATCCCATGTCGATGCGGGTGATTTTAAAGTGCCGCGCAAGTTGCCCAAAGGGCATGAATTCGCGAAGCCAAATTCTGGGGGTTGAAGGGAGAGCCAAAAATAGAGGGCATGTCTAGACGAGACAGTTCGCGTTGCTGGTGTCGCGTGTGTATCTCTGTATCTTGCTGGTGTGTGCTCGCCTCGCGTCGCAAGGACGTTGGGGGACAGGGGACATCGGGAATGTGGGAGGGAGTGATTCTAGGAAACAAGAAGACTGAAAAGCTAAAACGATTTAAGGTGCTTGTGGTATTGCCTTTTTGCGTCATCAGATGGGACGGGAGTTGGGAGGCGGAATTTTCTGAGACGACCGTTGTTCGGCACAGGCTTCCCAACATGGGTCTGCTCTCGACCGGGTGCGCAGGAGGGGGCTGTTCGGTGCGAGTGATCCGAAGATGGTGGTGTCAAAGGTTTTTGAGGTTAACCTTGCGTCTTCTCGACCGTAGTACAGAACACTTTAGCATAGACTTTCTGGGCTAATTATCAGGCTTTAGCCTATGTAGGCCTAAAGTTGCGCGAACCATCACCTTGTTTCGATGAGAGTTTCCGTCTGGAGGAAACACGCAATGAACGCACAGAGACACACAGCCGCAGCACGCACGCTTAGCGACAGCAGCAACACAGCAGCGGTTCGGTTCGGTTCGTATTTACGAATAGGCACCCATCTGCTGGATTAGGGTTCCCGTCAAGGTTAAGTCTTTAGTTTAGTTGGCAGTCTTCGTCATCGATCTCGCAGTCGCGCCTAAGCTTCAAGGTTGCGAGCTAAACTAACGAAAGGCTCGCGTGGGAGCGCAACTTTACAAGCGATGGGAAGAAGATGGTGTTCGCAGCCCGCGGCGGCCGCAGGCAGGTCCAACCGGCCAGTGGGATCTCGAACTTCGGGCGAGGCTTTAGACGAAGGTTGGAGATCGACCCAAGCGGTTGGGACGTGAACACGACGAGGCCAGCTTATTACCCCAGCAGTTTACCAAGTCCAAGCGGGTTTCCCAGGCTGCTGTGTCAGTTCTTGCTATCAGTATCGTTGCCTTTGGAGATCAGCAAGCAGCTGCTCATCAATTAATTCGAGCTTCTTGGCAGGTCGCAGTCGAGTTCGAAGCGTTTGAAGTCAGGTCTGATAGATAACGTTGTCAGGCTCAAGGAGTAGCCTTGCTCAAAATATGCTTGAATTGCTGAAACTAGAATAACGTGAACGTCAGTTTTGCAACTCTATCGCGTCTGGCTACTTCCGCCATGGGAGCCCTAGTTGGGACAAACCATGATCAGGAGGTTGCTGCTGTTGGAGCCATTATCGTTGTGAATATCCTTTGGGCTAACCAAGGGAGGTTCATGTGGCCGCATGCAACAGGAAGCTCAAAGATTCGGTTTCTGGTGACACCCGTCAAAGTCATTTAAGCTGTCTTAATACCTATGCTATTGATCTTGACAAATGCATTATCAAGAAATGTCATCAACTACTAAGCGTTAATGAAGCCGTCATGTTCTTGCCCATTTTAAGGTCTTTTAGGTCCAGCTGTGGGTGTTCTGCCAGAGCCTTTTCGAAGCTCGGCAGTTCAGATAGTCTCTCGTCGGCGCAAAATAGGGATTAACCTTAATGTTGGTCGTCGTTGCTGACATGCTATCGGCGACTCGACGCTCGGGGGTTCCAGAAGGGATACCCATGGCACGTGTGAGGACTCGGAGTCCGAGCCTTGGGACGAGAGCATGGTCGCTCTTGGGCGCCCTGCTTTAACCAGTTCCTCGGTCTTGGAAACTTCGATGGTGATCACTTGACAAATACATGCGAAAACAAGGCTTTCCGACGGTCCATGCGTGCTGCGATACTCAGTTCGATAACCGGTTCCTGTCTCAGTTGTCAGTCAGCATGACTTGCATCCCACGCCCCCGTCAAAAAGAACTTGCAATCTCCGCGCCGCCGCCGCTATTAGACTTTGGTATCAGAACGCACGGCAAAGATCCCGAGGATTTACACGAACCATACGTTGAACGTTCCAATGCGGCTGGGGGCGGGATCAAGGGTGAGGTCGTTTAGACTATTATAAGCATACATTAGTGCGAAACCCGGCGGGGGTGAAGGAGGCAGGAGTTGGCGAGCTGTCGCGTGCAGATCACACAGCTCCTGCTGTCTTGGCGGTCTTTGAGACGAGATCTTCTGCGACTGTGACACGACGATCATTTCTTGGGGGCATTTCTTCGCGTTTGAGAACGGGAAAGGGGACGCGGGCAAAGCGGGGTCGAGTCATGGTTTGTCGAATTGCTGGAGCTCCTACTCGAGCTCAATTAGGAAAGTCACAAAAGTTGTCTTGGTTGAATTAACCGGGAAAACTCAATTGAAGTGTCGGGCCAAGCGTTGCCAAGCGGTGTAATTCGTTGCACCTGAATGGGTTCAAGGCGGAAAGGCTGAGCTTGCAGGATATTGTTCGCGGGCAAGGCAGCCGACGGGAGATTCTCGTTTTCGCTTTCTCCTTCGCTTTAATCGGGTTATCCGGTTGAATTCCAGAGCCTCACTGCCCCCTTCTTGGCGCATGGATGGATTAGCATCGGGGAGTAAGATATGTGCTATGCAGTAGTGGTGAGTTAAGAAGACAGAGTCTAAACTCAATTGCTGCTACCATAGTTCATTGGCCATCGGAACCGGGAATCGCCTATCTCGGGCGAGCGAGGCTGTCCCTACCACTCATGTTGAAGAGACTATCTGCTAGAGAAGGAAAGTCTCCGTCAAAATGTACTCCTGAACGGCCCGAACGTGACTAGAAAAGGTTTTGGTAGCTTCGTGAGAAACGTCTGCGAAAACCCGTATCGAAACATGGCTGAGTGTATGAGTTGTGACACTGTCGGAACCAAGTGTGAAAACTGCTTGTCGGTTAACATGAGCGCGTAATACCGCCCAAGATTCGATGCTACCATGACATCGTCCCAGGAGCAAGACGTCCAGAGAAGTTTTGAGGCATGCGGCAGCGTTAGGTGAGTGATGCTGCCTTGAACGACGGACGGTCCAAACTGCCTTGAGCTGAGCCAGACTATGCAGCAGGGCTGACAAAATATTCAAAGATAATGTCTAGGAAGACATTCCAGGACCTCGGGACGTTGTGGTGGACATTCATTCACAGACATAGACATCGAATCACTGTTTATTTCATGCACATTATCGCTACGTGATATCGATAGTTGTTTGTCAAAAATACATTTAGGAATTATTGAGACTATCGAGAACACCTCTAGACCTACTTTATGTTGCTCTTCTCAAACCCTCATCGAAACACGATGGAGAGAACGCTACGACAAAGACCCATGATTGGGGGGCGTTGGCTAGCAAGCTTGGCTTAAGGCCCAAACTGCAGTAAGACGACAAGGTGTAAGGACATTGTAAAGACTAAATCTCTCTCTCACCTAGGTGCCTTGGTTTCCAGACCAATGAGACCAATCCTTCGTCCCGATTTTGAGTACTACCATGAACAGAGAGAGACTGATGCCAAGGCAAACGACTCGAGACCATCTACGGCCAAGAATACGCCAATACCTCTGGTATATCTGTGGTAACTTCGGCGGACGGACAGGTGGTATCCTCGCCAATATAACCACCGTCGTGAGGGTGCAGCAACCAGTCCTCTGGATTGGCAGACAGACCTGAGTACAGGGTGCTTTGCTCGGAGTCATGGGGGACGAATACAGGCTCAAATGAATTGGTGCCGTCGGATTGGAAGTATTGTTGATGGAGTATGCGGAAATCGGTGTTCCCTAGATCTCTGTCTGCTATATAGGGGGTCCAATTTGAGGAGACGACCGGTGTTGATTTCGAAGATGTGCTATTACGAGTGATAGTCACGGCTCCGAAGTATGGTATCTTGAGGCGTAGACAGCGGTGGGAGTGCCGAGTCTCTACAGCAATGAGGTCAGCGGGGAGGTTGCTTGAGTGGCAGCATCGGCCTCCATGTCCAATAAAGACCTCAGTATAGAAGCAGTTTGCTCCAGCAAGTCATCGCTGCTTGATCCGTTCACCCCCAAGAAGAGCTCGATGGCTTCTTCAACCACAGCCCGATCGCTTAGCCGTTGATGGGCCAGGATGTCTACCCCCTTCGTCGTCGCCCTTTGCCATCTCTCAATGTGCGCTAGCACAAGAGCCAGGCAGGCTGTGAACGCAGAGAAGTCGGTGCCTCTGCAACAAAAGGCAACATGATTCATGCATCTAAACTTGATGTAGCGGTTTAGAAGCTCTCTGCTGGCGTTCACACATGCTTGCTTGCTGTAGTTGTATGTGCTTTCGCCAGATGAGCGAAGCATGCATGGCAGATGGAGAAGGATGAGCAGGCTGAAGTGTGTGATTTGAAAAAGCACACGCAGGATACCTTCCAGAGTTTGTGAGCTATCGGACTTAGCAAAAATGTTCTTGTTCCTGGTGTTAGGCAGAAACCACCATTCGGGAGGCATGCTTTGAGCCGCTTCCTGAATTGCTCGATCAATGCTTTGGGTGATGGAAAGGTCATGCATATCTTGGTCCTCCTCATTCCTGATAGCTATATGCCCCATTAACATGGAGTGTGCGCGCTCGAGATACTCGCTAGGGCACTCTCCTGGCACGAAAGCTACTTCAGGGGATGCAGAGCTCGCTGTGGAAGCAGGTAGATCTAGCATAAGCGACAAGTATCTGTCTTGACTAACAATCCTATGCCACATGATGGAGGGCGACGCCTTCGACATCGGGTTGAGAATGGCATAGCTTTTAGGGTGGTTGCTATGGAGCCCCAAGAGCTGGGCGTGTCCAACGGCTCGCTTGATGATGAGCCAGGCTTGGCCGAGGTTACCCGCATTGGTATATAATACAGCCTCGAGGATGAGGCATTCGAGGCCCTCTAGGGAACATATGAGCTCATCGTCTTTGGTGACCAGGGAAGCCGCGTGAATAAACCCGTCCATGGCCTCCGATGGCCGGTCAGGATTGAGAAGTTGTGCGCTAGGAGTACACGGATGAAGATTCTGAAGACCGTTGGCAAGGTACAAGAGAGTCAGAGCCAGGAGAACAGGGTGATCTGATTGATCTGGCAGAGCAGAAAGCGAAGAAGACGGACGCGTATTGCCGCTGAATAGGTCACGGTAGGGAAGTGTGAAAAATTGGAGAAACGCGGCCGTGTGTCCTGCAGAGATGAGGAAGGCGGCTTCTCGTTGGGTAGGCATGGCTTCGTGAAGATGTATGCAGAGGTTCCGATATCGATATTGATGAGTCTCAGGCGGACCTTGTCCAAGATTGTCCGGCAGGTCAACACCTTCGTCAACCTGTTACTTCATTCAGTCAATTACCTATATCGAGGATTTTGAGAAACATACCAATATACTGTCAAAGACCTGGATGCTAGGACATGATGATGGAGACGCTGACTGTGACAGAAATCTGCTAGATAACTGACGGTCTCTTCGAACGTGAGATGGCGAGTGCCCCCCTGGTGGAATGAGGGACTCTGCCGTTGGTGTCAAACGGTTGGCCGCCTCCGTCATTCTCTCGAGAAGTTCCTCGGCCCTTTTTAGCCTCTTTACAGTTTCCTTGTGTTTAGTCGTTTCGGCAGCGCGTTGGTCTGTGATCTCGTTGTCGTATTCTTGCGTCAAACATGCCGTTCCGCGTCGTTCGTACCCCTCGCAAATCTCGTGAGATGCAGAGGCGAATTGGCATCGTATCTTTCTTTTCTTGCCTGGCAGATGCCAATCAGCATGCGAACAAATCTTGCGGCGTAGTTTCCGGCGTCCTTACATTCCCAACAGCTTGTTGTACCCTTCCGAATCTTCCTCCTTTTGAGTCGAGGGCCGGTCTCAGATGGATGATCTTCAAGACGATTATCGGGCATGACGATTGATGGATGTGAATTCTGACGCCCATTCGCGAGGGGAAAAAGACTAGACCAACGCGAAAGTGATCTATCCAAGCTGGGAGAAGCCGCATCAGTCGTGCTTGTTGCTTTCTTGTTGACGCGTTCGACCAGACGCGTGCGGGGCAAGGAGAAACACGAAGTCACGTTTTCCTCCAGGCTCCCATCTGTCATCTTCTTGGCCGCTGAGCCGAAACCTGGGGCCGGACTCAAAGGCCGACGGGTGGGTCCCGGGGGAAAGCCGGCCGCCGGCTCCCGCGTTCGGCCTCGGTCGATGCGTGTTCCTTCATATAACGCCTCGGAAATCCGTTTCCTTTTGTCGCATTTCTGAGAACGCATCCAATGATTTTGTTTGCTCGAACTTGGGAGGATCCTCAAGCTCGCTACTGATCCGGATTGGCGCTGTTGCTGTCAAAGGCCTCCGAGTCCCCGTCGGGTTCCACCGCACTGCATCTAGATCGGGTGACATGCCGGGTACCGAATTCCATAGGGAAAGTATCGACGTCACGACGCGCTCAAATGTCCCTTTGACATTCAATCAGCGCAAGAAAACGTGGTGTGATTTGTCAGGTGGCCTGCCTCGGCAAGGTTTATGTCCAAGAAGCGCGTTCAGCAGCCCTTGGCCGTTTGCGTCACTGTCGAGAGCCAAGCAAGGTACCAAGACCCGTACTCAGAGCCGCGCGAACCAGAGTTCACTCCGGGGTGTTGGTTCACCGAAGCAACCGAAATTGCGGACCCGGAACACTGCCCCACAACAGGCGGCTACTTTACTTCCCCGGATCGGCATTGGTATAAGAGGTAGACAGGATGGATCAATGACAACGTATTATGGAGAGAATAGCACTCTGTATTCCAAGTGATCTCCATAGATCCACGGATCTCCTGTCGCAATGGCGCTTCTTTCCCCCAAAGTTTATCAATGGCTCGTGGGAGTCTTTGCATCCCTCGGAGCCTTTCTTTTCGGCTACGACTTGGGTGTTATCGCGGCAGTCGTAGCATCAAACACCTTCCAAGATGCTTTCAGCCCAGATACGTCCACTGAGGGACTTGTCGTATCAATGTTCACAGCGGGCGCCTTCTTCGGGGCTGGAGCGGCTGGTCCTCTCGGAGACCGCCTCGGCCGACGAGGAACCATCGTCACCGGAGCCTTGTTCTTCCTATTGGGCGGAGGTCTCCAGACGGGTGCCCGTGATATCCACATGATGTGGACTGGCCGGTTCATCTCCGGAATCGGTGTCGGAGCTCTCTGCATGATCGTTCCCCTTTACCAGGCCGAGCTAGCTCACCCAAGCATCCGTGGAACCGTCACGGCTTTGCAGCAACTCATGATCGGTATCGGAGCATTCGTTGCGACATGGGTTGGATGGGGTTGCTACACAAACCTTACCACGACAAGTGCGCAGTGGCGGATTCCACTGGCGATCCAGAACATCCCAGCACTGCTTCTCGCTCTTCTGACCTTTTTATTTCCGGAAAGTCCTAGGTAAGTAGGGTCCTCTAAGTGAAAGCCACAAAACCTGACCCCGTTCACAGATGGCTTGGTGACAAGGGAAGAGACGAGGATATGCTCAAGACACTGGCACGACTCCACGCGAACCACGACGTCGACGACCCTTTCGTCCGGGCCGAGTATGAACAAATCAAGGCCGCCATCTCTCACGAGCACCACAACGAAGCAAAGTCTTATATGGAACTCTTCCGCTCCAAGAGCTCTTTCCGGCGTCTGTTTCTCTGCTGTGCCGTCCAAGCATCGGTTCAAATGACTGGAGTCTCTGCGATTCAGGTATGCTTTCACATGAAAATGATACCAACATTCCTGAACTAACGAATTACAGTACTACTCTCCTCGTATTTTCGAGCAAATAGGTATTGCCACCGATGACACGCTGAAGTATCAAGGTATCAGCAACGGCCTAGCGATCATCGCCCAAATCTGCGCAATGCTGCTTGTCGACAAACTCGGCCGTCGCTGGCCCCTCATTGGAGGCAGTTTTTTCAACTCTATCACCTTCATTATCGCCGCGGTTCTTCTGGCCAAGTTCCCTCCGGGCGAATCCAACAACCTGAGCGCTCAGTGGGGCTTTATTGTTGTCACCTGGCTGTACAACTTCTCCTTCAGCGCGACCAATGGGCCACTGAGTTGGATCATCTGCGCCGAAGTCTTCGATACGAGAACTCGTGCTAAGGGTGTCAGCATCACCACCATGGTATCATTTGCTTTCAACACTATGATTGTAAGTTGAATGGGCTCTAAAGCGTGCTTGAACGGATTCTGACAACCTTTTCAGGGTCAAGTAACTCCAGAGGCCATGGAGTCTGTAGGCTACAGGTTCTACTTCCTGTTCGTCGTCTGCAACATTACCAATGCCATCTTTTTCTGGGCTTTCCTTCCCGAGACCAAGGGCCGTCCCTTGGAAGAGATGAACGAACTGTTTTCTAGTAATAGCTGGTTCGTAGCAGGCAAGACCACCAGGAGACAACACAGTCAAGACTTAGAGAACAGACTGCACGAGAAGGAGCGCGAGACTATCGAAGGCTCACATGCGGAGACTGCAGAAATGAAATAGGGGTGCAGAACTGTTATGTATCATCTAGTAATCAGATCAGTCTATTTACTTTATAGCAGCTCCGTAGGCATGTTCTTGATGGCTCTCTGTTCCTCTGGCCTCAGCTTGATCGAGAAGTACTTCTCTAAAGCTGCAACGCGCTGGGCCTCATTCTTGAGTGTTTCCAGGAGCTCGAGCTTGTCGCCAATCTTCTGCTTCACTTCATCCTTATGCAGAACGAGAGTTCCCACCGCTGTGCGTGTTTCGGGGTCTAAGATCGTTCTCATGGCAAGAACGGTCTTGACAAAGTAACTCGTCGGCCTGCTCATAGTGGCCAAGTTCATGACCTCAAAGTCTTCCGGGAAGAACTCCATTTCGGTGAAGCAGTTACGTTGCCTGAAGGGGCCATCGGCGCTGTCTGTGGAGTAGTAAACCCACATGCGCTGGTCTGAGTCTGTGTGCTGGTCCAATTTCTCGTACACAAGCTTGCCCCTCAACGGCGCGATGGTAGTGAATTCATGACCGCTATTCAGAGGTACGGGAACCATTGCTGCACCTTTTCCGAAGCCGACATCGACCATGTAACGCTGTTCGCCAATGCGGATGAGATTGACCATATGAGACCTGGGATCAATGAGTCATCACTGCACAATTCGTAATGTTCAAGTCGCGGAACTCACCATCCACCGAAACGTTCATCTCCTTTGATCCTCCCGCCTACGCTGAGGACAGTGTAGCCCAAACATTTCAAAATCGCGCCGAGGAAGGCGTTCACCTCCATGCAGTAGCCGCCGTGACCCTCAATGACTATCTTGCGGAACAGGTCCTGCAGATCTAGTGAGATCAGCCTGTGTTTAGAGTAGTGTAGCGTCAAGCTTTCGAACGGCACTCTCGCAAGATGATGTGCCTGGATCTCCGTGAGACGCTGAAGCGGGTCCGATGCATGCTTCTCGCGAGGGTAGTTGATGTGGTTGAAGTATTGGTCGAGTTGCTCCGCACTGTAAGCCATGTTGGGCGATCGGCAGAGTGGATTGATGTTTGGGTTCCACGGCAGCGAAAAAGCGACAAAAGCCCTTATAATCGTCTAGAGCTTACAAATCTGGTGTTGTGCGCTTTGAAGTTTTCGCGATGCACGGATGAGAAGAGTCTTTTCCTGGCAGAAACGAGATGTCTTCCACGCCTTTTGAGTACCTAATAATGCCCACCTATGACGTGGCGCTCCCGTCGGCACGGAATATTGACCCAGAATAGCTAGGATTGAAAACCGAGCTGCAAAGCTCCGCAACCTCGGAATTAGTCACACAGGAGAACCGACCTCAACGCACAATGCTTTCAGACTTTGTTTATTACTGACACCACAACATAAACCCCAGCGCTCTCGCTAAGAAGCTTGCAACGGCCCAGTTGCCCCTGTTAAGATAGTCTTCGTTGTTAAGAGTTGATTTGATTGGTATCTCAATTCAAGACTTGTTATGGCTGTGTATCGCATGCATCCAGCAGAGACCTTAGAAGCTTACGGTGGAAGTGTTTTGTTTTTAGAATTATCGACGTTGATATTACGTAAATAAAGTTGAACTGTTTCCCGTGCACCCAGATTCTACTGACCTTCTCCTGCGCAGTAGACCATCACAAGTGTGAGATCTAGCAAGAACCACGCCAAGTAAATGGCCTTTTCTGCCTCTGTTCTTTCCGTTTCTCTCTATACTCTCAACAGCAGAATCGCTATAGAAGTTCCGCCTATCCGCTGTTGTACTCGATGTACTTCTTCCTCCAGAGCCTAGACAATGCAGTAAAACCGCATCTCGATAAACTTCAATATGGCCTCGGCATATCCCATTCCCTTCGTGCCTGCCCAAACACTTTTTCCAAGGATGTTGAACAAGATTCTGATTCGGAGAGTGACTAAAAGTCAGTTTTTCCCCATGCACTTGCTGGATGTTTCTGCACATGTAAGTGTAAAATCACGGCTAATACTAGTTTTGAAGGAGCGTCGTCGTGCTGTGTGCAATTGTACATAACTACGACGTCTATCTACGGGGGACTGAGCAGAAGCTTGTGGGGCATTAAGCTATTTGTCCAAAAACATAAGTATGATGTGACATATACCAAGAATATAAGAGCCTTCTGGAAGAATTGCGGCGCGGACTTTTCCGTTGACCGACGTTGACCGATAACGAGGATGTATTCTGATACAACAATGGCCCCTGATTTGAAAGCCCCAGTGGTATTCAATCGTGGCAGGAATCGCGCAGCGTGTTCCTCCTGCACATTTGCAGCGCACATGACAGTTCCCGGATAACGAATGCGAGAATCCGTGTCAAAGACGAGGCCTGGTAATTTGACTGGGACTTCCTAGGCTATTTGCAGCTAGATTTAATCAATCAAGACAGACCTGTAATTGGGTTTAGGGGCCGTATCTGATTCATGGCACGTAGATCCGCAACTCTTTTTAATGAACACCTTCAGGTCTTGGTGATGCCACGAGTCAGTGCAAGGAAGGCCCGGTCCGACAGTTAGCAGTACAGCACCATGCTCTCAGAAACCTTTTAAAAGCGAATAGACGCCACGAAAGTGTCACGACCGGTCTGCTACGATTTACGAATTGCGAACCATCTCCACAACAACTGCAACAAGCTTCATCACCATGCAAGGCTTCGGTACTTTGATATTGGCCACCTTGGCCGCAGCCGTCGCTGCCAAGGACTGCGCCTTCTTCTACAACTCGCATGTCGATACCTCTCTGTACGAAGGCATTCCCACTTCCAATGCCATATGGTACTGCGAGAACGATATCGGCGGGAAGATGGCCAGTGACGAATCGAATCTCTCCAACTCTGCTACCAACCCGGACTTACGGTGCGGTATCTGCCGGGGTGCTAGAAGTGGGACGAAGGATTATGACATCCCCGATAAGATTGGCAACTACGCTGTGCGATGCGGCTACTACGCCAAGGGCAAGTGCTCTGCTTGAGGATCAAAGATGGTAAGATATCTCAGTTGAGAATCGGTACAAATGCTGACCGGCTTGCGATCAGATTCAGGATTTTCGTTCAGTCTCACATGAATGCGTTATTTGCGTAATTGTGCCCATAAAGATGGCAGCGTCATTGGATACATCGCGGGCACTTGGACAAGGGCGAATACAGCGGTCACATCAACCAATAATTTGTTACTGTAGTTTCCATAATGCGAACATGTTTTCTTGGGCAGCCAAAATCTACTTAAGCTACTCAAGCATAATTCTGAGCTTAACTTTATTAATTCGTTTTAGTTGACAGCGGATGTGATAGTGAACTTTTAGAGTTGACAGGATGAACTCTGTCCGAGCATTGACTTCCCAGGGATTGCTCGAGCGAACAAGGTTTGGCTGCCATCGCAGCTTCGTCCCAGCATATTCAGTTATTACTACGTACGGCTAGTCATTTCGAGAGGGGGAAAAAGCGACCAAAAGGTCTAGCAATTTCGTTTTGATAAATGCTTTCGCGATGACTGTGGCCTTCGGTGTTGTCCTTCTTCCTTCTAGAAAAGGCCCGTTTAGGAAGGTGTGAACAGCTCTTGTGTGTCGCACGTGCCAGTGCGTCATCACGCTGGACTTCGAAAAAAACACGCGATTTCATGTCTGCAACAACAAGCTGGGAATACTGCTTGCCCTCAACAGCCCTCAACAAGAACCCGATCAATGCTACCACACCTGTTCCTCCTCGTCACGTACTGCACTCTGGCCATCATGGGCGAGAAGTTCATTGTGGAGTTTGGCAGCAGCAAGGTACGCTTTCCCCGCTATCAGAGCCCCGGTGTACCCGCTATCTTGATTGCATACAGCTGACGGTTGCTTCTAGAACGAAGACAGAGAAGAGCTGATCGAGAAACTGACTACCGACGAGAGAACAAAGGTCGTCAAGCGCTTCGACCACGCGATCTTCTCAGGCGTGGTGATCGAGACGGGCAATCACAACCTTGATACTCTCCGGGCACTTCCGAATGTAGGGAATGTCTGGCCATCCAGAAATGAGGGTCTCTTGACCCAGCTCGGGGGCCGCTGATCATGAAAGGCGCTGGAGCAGAGTCGAGCAAGGAATACTAGGCACTTGCCATGGGATCAAGCGTTTATCGCAAGGATTTATTTCGGCAGTGATTCTGCAAGGGCGGCTCTAGGTGATGCGCCCCGGGAGACATTTGGCCTCAGTGCAGGGATGCTGCGTGATGAGTCAAAATAGGCTAGAGTCATCCAAAGCACAACATTCTTTACCTCGTCCATCGAAATAACATGAATACAAATACCAAAATATTGTACAACAAACCTGAAATTTGGGTACTTCCATTCGAAATATTCAAATACTCACATCGTGCCAGCATTTCGGTCGTCCTTCTGACGCTGTTTCACTCTACCACACCTGTTGTCACCCAAGATGAAGAAACAACAGAACATGGAATTGGCCTTCCGGCCCAAGTTCACGACAGCGATACAGGGCATTGACTTAATGTCTCTTCCAACAGAGTGCCTATGCCAGATTTTGGACGAGGTTGTGGAGTACCGCGAAGAGAGTGACACCAACCTCCGGGATGCAGTTCGGCTCATGAGAGTTTGCAGTAAGGCAACCTGAATCTATGAATGACGTGACATAGATCTGACAACTGTAGAACTTTTCGAAACAGAAGTCATGGGGGCAATTTCAAGAACAAGACTATTGAGAAGGATGAGAAAGAACCGCGAAGCCACCATCCTGCATCAAAAGGCTCAACCTACAGCCGGCAGAGCTTCTGCAGACTGCAAACTCACAGAAAACGGTGATGCGAGTGCTTTCTTGGCGCGTTACATCTACCAACAGCCATATCAACACCTGCCGTGGAAGACGAACCTATCGAGCGTCATAAACTCGTTGGCAGATAAACTCATGAAACAGGATGGCATGGATCCTACAGGAAAGCGAAGATTCAGTTACGTACATGACTTGTGTCGCTATGCTGTGCATCCCCAGCCATCGCTAGCAAATATCACGACGCGATACGGAATATGGATGCTGTTTCATCCTTACTTTCAGTCCGCCCTGTTCCCCTCAAAGTCTGCGATCACCAAAGAAACAATCGACAACCTCTTACTCGTGGCCAAAATCTATCTCAAGAGGTCCGACGTCGATAACACGATACTCTCAAAGATTCTCACACAAGGACCAAAAGCTCTGTCTACCTATCAACCCATTACCATAGACGAGTCTTCCGACGAAGCTGAACCAAAGAAATTGACGACGAAGAAGCCTCTACTCGGCTCTCTTCTGGAGGCGGCGATTCGAAGTGGCAACCAGAACCTCGCCGCTCTCCTGGTGAAGTACGAGATCGACGTGTCCCGGGGCAAAAGTTACAAGGCACCAGACGGCAACAAGAAAAAGATTAAAAAGTACTACGATACCTACTTTTGTCGAGTGGCATTCAAGTATGGGGATGTGGAGACATTCGCAGTTCTGCTTGAGTGCTCAGACGGTCGGATGCTGCGAGGAGAGTTCGCGGACTTGCTCATGCAAGTTGTATGCAATCGGCAAATGGAAGCACTGCAAGTTTTGCTGAACTGCCCTTATTCACTGCAGGAGCCTCCTGTACGAGGCCCTGTTTGGGAATGGCGGTATCTGGCGTACGGGTGGCAACATCGAGGAGTAGAAACAGGCTTGGAGGAAGCCATCTCCCATGGTTATGCGCATATATTCGGCATGATCCTAGATTCTGCCCACGCAAACGATCGAACGTACTGGATGTGCAGATGGGAAAAGACTTGCGGCTTACCTTGGCTGTCTGCGGAACGGCCCTATGATGGGAGGTTTCCCATCGAGATCGCGGCCGAGTGCGGGGATGAGTCCAAGTTGAACTCGCTGCTGGTCGGAGGCTCCAGTCCTTACGGGCCTAGTCTGAGGTGCGTCGAGGCCTATGCGAAGAAATCGGACCCTGGCTTGAGCATCACCCATCTCATGCCCATGATATCTGCTGCGAAAAACTGGCATATCGGATCAGCTCTCATTTTGATTAAGGGGGGCTTCGAGTGCAACCAGCAGGAATGGCTACTTGTTATGGGTACGGCGATAACGAGCAGACGAGACATTAAGGGTGCCGACGCTTTCAAGGGGGAAGATGAAGAACGGAAACAGACTATACGACAACGAGACGTGGTATTTTGGCAAAGGTTATTCGATGCTATTGCCATGGGCCTCCATCATCTCGAAGACGACTGTCCGTGGTGTCGAACGTTCCCAGTTTACATGGTCTCTCCCCTTGGGAGAAGTGTAGGAGCTGCGCGAAATTTCATCCGCACTGCTCTTCAGATCAGTGGCCACAAGCAGTTCGAGGCGCGCAGGTTGGATGAGACAAGTGTAATGTTCACGGTGTGAATGAAGTAGTATGTACTACTCATACGTTCGGGAGCTCAGGTCTCTGTTTTGACCTAAACCGTTTTCAATTCTGCAATTCTTTGATTCTTCAATGAGAGATGTACGGTGTCGAATGATATTCAGCATCCCTATGGTAGTTAGCCGAGATCATGATGTAATCATTCAGCGAGCCGGATTAAACCAAAAAGCATGAGTCCATTTTGATTACACGTTTTCGGAGAAAGCATTACTCCAAGGCTACCCGCCCTTATTCATGAGGTCATTTCCACTAACTACATCCAAGTCCCGATGCTCCACCTAGCCGTAAAAGAAAGAACATATCGAAAGTCATCTAGATCATATGAGCAATGTCGGAGACCCAACGCTTGTTCTTCTTCGCAGCCGCGACACCGCACTGGCCAGCAATCGCCGTGGTCTTTCCGTTGACAGCGCACTGTCCCTGGGCGTTGCAAGATCCAGCACCCTTGCCATCGGTGCAAGCCAGACCGGAGAACTGCGCGGCGTTGGCGGGGGGTGCGGTAGCGGCGTTGCCGTTGTTCTTCTTCGCGTTCGCGTTGCCGTTGTTCTTCTTTGCGTTCGCATTGCCGTTGTTCTTCTTCGCGGCCGCGCCGGCGTTCGCGTTGCCATTGTTCTTCTTGGCGGCAGCAGCAGCTCCGGCGTTGTTGTTAGCTGCCTTCTTCGCGTTGGCGTTGGCGTTGCCCTTAGCTGCGGCACCCTTTGCCTTCGCACCGGCGGCCTTGGCGTTCTTCTTCTTCTTGGCTCGGGCCTCGAGATGAGCGGCGTCGTTTGCCACAAAGTCTTCGGCACGGACTTCGATGGGGAGGGCGACGTCGCTAGCATCGACAGTGGGGGCTGTTTTGGGTTGTAAGCCAGGGGAAACATAGGGAAGAGTTCATCAAGTGCACATACCAGAAAGAACGTTGCCAGCCAAGAGGCCGAGAGCAACAAAAGCAGCAGCGGAGAACTTCATGTTGATAGGTTGGTGTGGGTTTTACGAGAGTAAATACTATGAGAGAGTGGACTCCAGGTCGTGTAATGAATGGTCGCTCGATTAAAAAGAGCCGCGCACAGCACGGAAAGAATGTAATAGTAAGAAGTTGAAGGAGTTATCCAGGTAGACGCTCAAAGTGGGAACAGAACCGCAGACTGGGAGACATCGCTCTCTTCTAGGTCTTATATCTTTTCGTCTCTTCATGTCCTCGCAGCCATGGCTGCCACACTCTGAAACTCCGGATGGCGGCGTCACCTGAGCCTCGACACCGGTCAATACAGAACTCTACTAAGGATGAGTTTTTTTGACTCGAGATGACAGCCCTGGAGCCTCATCCTGCTACAGGCACCTGTTCAGATGCCTGATCATCCCGTCACATCATTAGCTCAAACGAGGCTTATTGTGCCGCAGACTAGGATGGCCCCGGATCTACGGCACACGCGAAGCTCGGTTATGTCGGACTGCCTTGACCAGACTCGACCAATCCTGCCACAAAAACTGTCCGCATCGCTGTTTCAAGCTTTAAAGTTAATGCAACACACACTGCAATTGGGCCGTAGATGGGCACACTTTTCCGGGGTCCTGACGCTCAAGCACCCTCTTCAAGCCTCACGGACCCCCGCACTTGGGAGTTTTGCTGCGCATGATTTGAGAGAGGCCTGCCTCTTGACAAGAGGAACTCCACAGGGATGAATGATGGAACCGTCTTTTAAGCTTGCTGCTACCCTTATTGGAATATTTTGATGCTTGTTTTTGGGTGGCCAGGGGATGGAGAAACCGCCCCCCTCTCAAACACGCGAGGTTCTAGGCGAGAGCTGCAGACTTGTTTGTGCCAAGAATGAACGGAAAAATTGGGCTCCCCCAGATGCCATGCATTATTCTCCGACTCCTGGCGGGCCTAGATCAGCCCCATTCTGTGACCATCGGTGCCGCCGGCCACCGAGTTGCCTTCGATCTTTGCCATTTCGTCGAATTTGTCACAGAATGACTCGGGTAACATTGGGGACTGTTTAAGGGGATTCGGGATAAAAATATTAGAAACGCCCACCTCGATAAACGAATCATTCACACCAAACCGGCCTGCTGTTCTTGGTAGCGAGTTTACTCGTCTCAACCTGGACCCCTTTACTGATTTCACCTTGGATCCCTTTACTGAGGCTGATCGTCCAAAGCTGACTTATTGAGACGTCATTAATGCTCTCGAATCAGCTCAAGAATTTCCTCCCAGGCATGCTTAATCATGAAGCTTCTACCAAGCCTTTGAGTCACACGAACAATGTGCACTGCCACAATTTGAATGCTCGCTTTTCCTGTTGGGCTGTCATTATTGCCGACAGCTTCCAGATCGTCGCTCATCAAGCAGCTGGGGGCCTCGCACCCCTGCCAAGATCAACAGTGCTTGTATCAGCTTGCGGCAAGTTTTGCCGTACGATGAGCGCAAGATCGCTGCACGGCGTCAGACGCAGAGCACAGCAATCATCCTTCAAGTGAATTTTGGAGCAAGAATTTGCGACTTGGCTCATGATCTGAAGATCAGCCAGAAATTCTTACATGCTCAGACTGATGCCAATTTCATGGTTCTTCTTTTGCCAATCCCCGGTGGGCGGAACTGTTTGAGACAAAAATAACTAAGAACATGTGACCTGCTCTCTCGAGCCTTGTATACCCAGTAACATCGAATGCACAGGAGACATTTCGTGAGAAATTGCATAACACATATCGCATATTTCCACCGATTCTGCAGCAGAAACGAGGGCCAAGGCTTTGAGGCTAGGCGAGCGACGGGAGAAAAGGTGAAGGGTGAGCCATTTCAAACCCTGGCCAATACGATTGTAACAGATGTCAGCCACGATGCAACAGTTTACCCCTACAACGGCTCCCACCAAGTCTGCTACAGCTTGGGTCGCTTGGATGCTTCGGCAGCATGAAAGCATCCAACTTGGATTTTGGTGCAAGCTGAAGCTTTTGGTTCGTGTTCATTGAAGACTTTTGGAAAATCAGACAACAAATGATCCTCGATTTGTTCCATGCTAACATTGCGCAGTGTGTGAGATTCACCATTGTATATTTGTACGCAACGACATTTCGCCAAAAGACATCAAAATTTAGGCTAAAGTGTACGTGTGTTTCGCCATGTCATTCAAGTCGTTTTTCCCTCGATATTACGCCGGCAGAAAGCCACCATTTAGTTTGAGGCTGAATACAGCAAAGTCTTAAACAAAAGATCTGCGCGATGAATGTTGCCAAGGTAGATTATGCCAAGAGGATCTTTCACCAGGAAATGGAACCTCAATCGCGGGTGACTCGGCACTTTTGAATTCTACCGCTGCAAGGGCGGGACGACATGCAGATCATCATGTTCATTTACCAAATGGGTCAAAGGACTCTTTACCCCAGATTTTCCTGGCTGAGATATCATAGGTCTGAATTTAGCCAGATTTCCACGCTTCAACACCTCCCCTCAATGTAATCAAGAAAATGCCAATTGAACGCGCGTCATCTAAGATCACACTTCGCTGAATTGGATTTATCCATTGTATCTTGCGTGATCACGAGCTTGCGAGTGAAATACCTTCACAATTCGCGGCGCCGAAAACATAACACATTTGTAAATGTATAAGTTGTTGCGCTGATTGAATTCGTGAATCAAAATATCAATCATTACAACCTCTTGCCAATCTCTGTTACGCTCACTCCTGTTCCAGTGATGGTCTCTTTCTCGAACCTCCTTGTGGCCGTTGCGGCTTTCGCCAGCGTCATTGCCAGCCCTACAGGCACTGACCTCGTCAAACGTCAGTCGACGCCGAGCTCGACTGGCTATCACAATGGATACTATTACTCTTGGTGGACCGACGGTGGTTCTCAAGTCACTTACACGAACGGAGCAGGCGGCTCTTACAGTGTCAACTGGGGCGGAGGAGGCGGCAACTTTGTCGGCGGCAAGGGTTGGAACCCTGGTGGCTCTAAGTAAGACGCAACATAACCAGTCTCGAAAGCTGTAGCTAATGCCTCCCGACTTAGGACGATCCAGTACTCAGGAATTTACAACCCCAATGGAAACAGCGTAGGTGCTCATCTTGGTGTCATACCTGAAAGAAACGCAACTAGAATAGAACAATGGCGCGTAACATAGGCTAATGCTTTTAGTATCTTGCTGTGTATGGCTGGACCCAGAACCCGTTGATCGAATACTACATCATCGAATCTTACGGCACGTACAACCCTGCTTCCGGTGCTACGAAGAAGGGTTCTCTGACGAGTGACGGCGGAACCTACGACATCTACGTCAGCACTCGCGTGCAGCAGCCCAGCATTGAAGGCACAGCAACATTCCAGCAATACTGGTCCATTGTGTGTCTTTCCATTCAACAACCTGAAAGTTGTATGCTAACAGCGTCAATTAGCGCACTGAAAAGCGGGTCGGGGGCACTGTGACGACTGGCAATCATTTCGCAGCTTGGGCTTCAGTCGGGTTGAATTTGGGAACTCACAATTACATGATTGTTGCCACGGAAGGATACTACAGCAGCGGTAGCGCCTCAATCACCGTCAATAGCCCCGCTTAAAGTCCATATCATCGAGTCGATGTTAGGATGGCCCCTTATGACAGCACGATGAATTGCCGGATCATCTTCAGTGGAGGCAGCGATTTGTACACAACTTTTCATGTACATAGTTGAATTCTTTGATCTTTTGAACAATGACAAGTTGGCATAAGCCGTACAACGGTGTGGTCCCAGACAGCCCCATTTGAGAGTAAACTTTGAGTAGACAGTGCATCAATTGACATCATCTTGAGTTGAAATTTGCAGGGTACACCTGGTCAATTTGACAGCTACGGGATGGAGAAGCCCGTGTTTCAGGCTTCTCCAACAATAGAGTGTCTAGCCAGAGCATGCGCAGGAACATGTCCAAAGATTGACAATATATGTACAAGAAGTTAATTTCCAAATCCACCATCCACATGTACAAATGAAAGCTGTCTGGGGCGTTGTTGAAATTCGTCCCATATCGGATGTCCGAACTCAAATTTCAGGTGACAGACAATGCATCAAAGTTCCGTCATATCCGTCAGGTGAAGGTTCTGTGAGCTGTCAACCGATTCGCATTTCACTGCGAGTCATTGTTGGCAGCCTCCTCCTGTTTCTTCTCGGCGATCGCGGCAGCTTCTTCCGGAGCCACAAAGACGACCGGATCCGTGGTGTCAACATTCTCAAGCTGAGAAATGGCATCGGCGCGAGCTCTGCCGTACCATCGTCCGATGCTTCCCCGCTTTTCCACCTTCAAGTCGCGGGCCGCGGGACTAGCGGCACAAACAGGAGTCTCGATGAAAACACCCGTCTGAGGGAACGGCTCCAGAGGACCCCAAACGTTACCCGCATCATCGGCGCCGACGCCCTTGGTCAGGAACTCCATCTGGGAGAAGTCATACGAGACGGGGGGAACTCCAGGAACATCCTGTTCTCCGGGTACCCAGACGTTGACAGGCTGCACGTATGTACCGGCGGTGAGGTTGTTCTTGGTGACGCGAGTCTTCGCAACGCCGTCAATCTCGGTAATAACGCGGTACTCTCTGGTGTATCTGAAGAGAATCTCGTTGCGGTATTCAAACTTGTTCTGGGCGTTGCGGCCTCCGCGGAGTCCCATGGAAGCGATGATCCGGTCGGAGGTGGCGCCGGTGCAGGGATCAACATCCATGGCGTAAAGTGAGACAGTGGCCCGGTTGTTTGACACGAAACCGATAAACTGGATCATATCAGCACCGACATGATGTCAAAACGGTTGTCACATGTAAGCTTACTCGAGATTCCGCAATCTCTGCGTTGGGGCTGGGGTTGTCAATTCCCAGAAGCCCAAGCTCCATACGAACATAGACAATATCGCCAAGGGTGTTGATCTGCACGTTCTGAGCAACAATGCTGAATGCAATAACCTCGCTGCCTCGACGGAATCCGGAGAATGTGATGAAGTCGCCAGCTTGGAACGGCGCCATGACCAGAGGGTCGGGAGCAGTGCTGTTCACAGTTAGTTGGCAGCCTTCATAAGCTGGGCGAAGAACTTACAAAGTGCCAGGGCCGGCGAAAGGGCGGTTGGTCAACGGGCAAAGCGGATCAGTTTCGTTCCTAGGGATGCACATGGGGAAGCCCGAGAAAGACGTGATACTGGGGCTCTGATCGTCGGCAGTCATGAGCGGTGCGCCAGTGAAGCCCTTGGAGAAGACAGCGTTGGGATCCGAGATACGCACAGTAGGACCGTTCTGGATCTTGAGACTTCCGTCCGCAAAGTCAACAGATTCGACCCAACCACTGCTCAAGCCTTCAAAAAACTCATAGAGCTGAACTTGTGCAACTCGGGGTTCTCCGTTGATGCTGTTTCCAATAACCTAATACAAGTTGTGGTTAGTCGATCCGTTCTCGATACACGTGTGGGGACTGGACTTACCAAAGTCTCATAGCCAGCGAAGTCGGCCTTGTTGGCGACGAACTCCTTCCAAGGAACCCATGCAGCAGGAAACTGCACAAGAAGGTTTTTGGGAACGTTCATAGTGAAGCCATTGACAACAATGGTGCCGCCGGTGTTGAAAGTGTCATCTGTAGCAATGGCATCTTCGAGAGCGCCCTGAACCCAGATTGGCGACTCTTGAGCCCACACAGGGGTAGAAAAGAGAGCCCAGAGGGCAAGGAACAGCTCAAGATAGTGCATTGGAGGCTAAAGACAAGAGACTGAGGAGCCAAGAGAAGTTGAGGGTGGTGATACCAAAAAGTTCGCGATCTACCACGGGCGTCTTGGCCCATTTATCAAGATTTTGATCACTATGAATGCCATCGCCGTCCGCCCCCCTTTCGCTAAATCTGCATTTACTCTTTCGAGCCATCTCCGAATCATCCATAACTTTGGCTCACGAGATTACTTTCAAGCGAATATCGGTTGTGCGTGACGCCCAAGATTGATCTCGCTTCAACGTTGTTGACCATTGCCAAGGCGAACTATTGTGCTGAGTTGTCTTTGCAAATGGACTGTCTTGGCTCTCAAGGAGGCAGAAGACGTTTCCTCTTAGCAAAGCACATATGCACTCAATGGGACCCTGCAACGTGACGCTGCGCAATAGCCGTTTTGTTCACCGGAAGAGCCGGTGCGGACGCCGGTGAGCAATGAGGACGAGGCCTCCGACCTTCCCCCGAGACCGGTCAACCAAGGCGTGGCTCGGAAAAGCCATTTCGGTTCATCCCTCTATCATAGAACGGTCTAGTCGCCTGTGAAGGCACTGGGGAGACTGCAGATGCCCCATGCCCAACTCCATGTTCGCTAGCCTCCTGGAATCGTGACCCTCTGCCAAGATGGAGATGTATCCAACTTGGGCGAGCCATTTTTGAACGCGCGATGCTCGTGACAACCCGAGCAGAAATTCAACTTGTGGCGCTCCCTTTCTCGCAGTAAACAGTAAGTGTATCGTGAGAATCCCTTGATCGGGCCCCACCCAACGCATCTCAACTGCATGGTGTTGTTACCGGGACCGATTCCGCGCCGCGCGCTACATGTCTATAATTGGTGACCTATGCCGGATTGGTGCTCGGGAGAAAGGGGAGCCGAGTCGTCAAAACCTGCCTGCCCAGGATCTTGATTCAGAAACCCCTGGAGCGGAGTTCATAGCAACCGGGGGAATGCAACCCAGCCTCCTGGGCCGGCTTAGACTGCTGGTCATTGCTGCACGTTGCAACTTGAACGTTGTCACTCGAAAAGTAGGATCGTGGGACGGCAAGAAAGAGGCTCGTAACAGGAGGCTCCTGAACGATCCCTGGTCAGGGATGCATTTTATCATGAAATAGGGAACCCCTCATTGGTGGCGACAGGGATCTCTTGACCTCATTTAGTCGCCTAAACCTTCGTCCCCAGAAGGTATCCAAGCGCAGCCACATGAGTCTCAGCCATACTCTGTCAAAGTTTGCCCACTGCACTTTGGATACAGTTCTGTTACCTAGCCAAGAAGATCAAGTCACGAACTACGGATGAAAGTGAAAGATCATCATCAAACGAGATGTGATCTTTCTCTCAGAATAGACAACAGCGCAGTTGCAAATCATCTCAGTCCGTGCATCTTTTGCTAGACGCTACTCAAACAGATCGGGGTTCGCTCCGGTTCCCCTGTTCACATGCAACAGTCGCAGGTTTTGCCGACAAACAGGATTCTTCGCTAGTCAAAACTTGCCGTTCCTCGAGGTGATGCTACATCTTGGCAATTGCCACCACCACGGTCAAAGAGGTCTGCTCCTCCTCAGTCAAAGACAACTGCTAACATGGATGCCGTATTCGTAGACGGCTTGCATCACGACTCATCACGTTCCAGCCATGACTGATACTTACGCGATATTCCACAACTGCACGTCTGGACAGGATTAGTGGAACCGTGCGTCGTGGGCTCTCCAGGCCATTATTCCGATTCGGGCCCAAACACTATGGAACTCCCCGCGTCGACCCTCCACTTGGAGCCTCCCCGCGTATTTCATGTGGACATCGTTGGACCTGACAAGCCCTTCCCGCCAAGAACTACCGTAAAAATGGGTCAAATGGCTGCCTGCTTTACCACCTTCCTTTCTGAAGGCTTCGCCGCAACCTTCATAGGCACATAGAGTTCGGCTCCGTATGCCACCCGGGGCATTTCGTCCAACAAGCTACGGCTAACGTAGGGTACGGGCCGGATGCGGCGTGATATAGTTGCAGTCAAGATGCATGACAGGACCTAATCTTCACCTGAATGTACACGCTTGGCGGCAAGGAGGCAGGTTTTCACGAGTCGCCACCGGCAGCTGATGCTGTCTAAGCACGTGTCCGCAGAAAACCAGTTGCTTGGTAATTTTTACTTTTGATTCCGTAAGTAGCCAAGTGATGCCAATTCTGCTTCCGTGTAATACCATTTGCTATGGGAGATTGTGTATGCGAGGGACGAAACAAAGCGCATATCGCCGTAAAGCTTTCCATGTTTCGTTCGATCGAGAGCGCAATGATGGCAAAGTTTCGATCTCATCGAAATTCAAAGAAGGCCCCCAAATACCGTTCCTAGCTCGGGCTCGGGTAATAGGGGCTCAACCGAAGCACGTTGGAAAAGCCTTCGTGGCTTGGATGCCCCCTGAACCGTGCGTGGCATTATCCCCTCGACTGTCCACGAAGGAGTCAATACCCTTGACCCCAGTAGAAGACTAATGACTTTTGCAGCGGTCAATATTGCGGGATTTAGTCAGTCTGGGGTTGGCTAGCCGCGCAAACAGTCGGCAAAATCCAAGAACACTAACCAACCACTGGCGAGCAGGCAGCCTCGACGGCACTAGCACGATGTCACCCGGATCGTCCCCATCCCGAAGACCACACAACTTCACGTTAAGATCGATGGTTCATCGTCTCTTTAGAGTGCTTATCAGCATGGTACTCATGGAGGTGCGGGTAGGTTAGTCAAAGGTTGGACTTGTCTTGGCAAGACTCAGGACTAGGTAGAGGCTGGAGACCATGCCCACCCTTATTGGGCTGTATTAATCGCAAAAGAGAAAGCCTTGAGCCTCGGCCTGGGACTCGT